GGAATGCGGCGGGAGGACCTGTTATATAACCTGGAAAACCCTAGGGGGAAGTACCAAACTTAAAAAACGTAAATCACCACAACAAAAGCAAAGACTCGGCACAGATGCAACATCCCCAAATGAAAAGCAGGGGGTGTCACTAGCACTTTTAAGAGACAATACAATAAGTATCAGGGGCCCGAGCCCTTTTTAAAAACTGCCTCCCAGCATACATAAGGGGGATTACCAATAGACCCCTGGCAGTCTTCAAGCTGGCACTGGACAAACACCTAAAGTCGGTACCTGGCCAGCCGGGCTGTGGCTCGTACGTTGGTTTGCGTGCAGCCAGCAGTAACAGCCTGGTTGATCAGGCTCTGATCCATCTGGAGGCCTGGTCACAGACCGGGCCGCGGGGGCGTTGACCCCCGGAACTCTCTCCAGGTAAACTCCAAATAATCTTCCCCGTACATCGGGTAACCCGGGAAGTCGGGTTCGATAGTGTAAGCTGTCATTGGCCGTTATAAACCAAACAAAGAAAGAAAGAAGAACTTAGTGTTACCTGTTTAGTAAGTAAAATAAGAATTTGTTGGGATTTTTAACCCGTCGTAGGGAGGGTTACCCAGCCAGGATAATCTGGGATAGGGAGGATTACCCAGCCAGGATAACCTGGGGCAGGGAGGGTTAGCCACCCAGGATAATCCGAGGTAAGAAGGGTTAGCAACCCAGGATAATCCGAGGTAAGAAGGGTTAGCCACCCAGGATAATCCGAGGTAAGGAGGGTTAGCCACCCAGGATAATCCGAGGTAAGGAGGGTTAGCCACCCAGGATAATCCGAGGTAAGAAGGGTTAGCCACCCAGGATAATCCGAGGTAAGAAGGGTTAGCCACCCAGGATAATCCAAGATAAGGAGGGTTAGCCACCCAGGATAATCCGAGGTAAGGAGGGTTAGCCACCCAGGATAATCCGAGGTAAGAAGGGTTAGCCACCCAGGATAATCCGAGGTAAGAAGGGTTAGCAACCCAGGATAATCCGAGGTAAGAAGGGTTAGCCACCCAGGATAATCCGGGGTTTAAGGAGGGTTAGCCACCAGGATAACCGAGGTAAGGAGGGTTAGCCACCCAGGATAATCGAGGTAAGGAGGGTTAGCCACCCAGGATAATCCGAGGTAAGAAAGGGTTAGCCACCAGGATAATCCGAGGTAAGAAGGGTTAGCCACCCAGGATAACCCAAAGATAAGGAGGGTTAGCCACCCAGGATAATCCGAGGAAAGGTGGGTTAGCCCCCGGATAATCCGAGGTAAAAAGGGGTTAGCCACCCAGGATAATCCGAGGTAAGAAGGGTTAGCAACCCAGGATAATCCGAGGTAAGAAGGGTTAGCCACCCTGGATAATCCGAGGTAAGGAGGGTTAGCCACCAGGATAATCCGAGGTAAAAAGGGGTTAGCCACCCAGGATAATCCGAGTAGAAGGGTTAGCCACCCAGGATAATCCAAGGTAAGGAGGGTTAGCCACCCAGGATAACCCGAGGTTAAGGGGGGTTTTAGCCACCCAGGATAATCCGAGGTAAGGGGGGTTAGCCACCCAGGTTTAAACCGAGGTAAGAAGGGTTAGCCACCCAGGATAATCCGAGGTAAGAAGGGTTAGCCACCCAGGATAATCCGAGGTAAGGAGGGTTAGCCACCCAGGATAATCCGAGGTAAGGAGGGTTAGCCACCCAGGATAATCCGAGGTAGGGAGGGTTAGCCACCCAGGATAATCCGAGGTAAGAAGGGTTAGCCACCCAGGATAATCTGAGGTAAGGAGGGTTAGCCACCCAGGATAATCCAAGGTTGGGAAGATTAACCACCCGGGATTATCCGAGGTAAGAAGGGTTAGCCACCCAGGTTAATTCGAGGTAGGAAGGGTTAGCCACCCAGGATAATCCATGGTAGGGAGAGTTAGCCACCCAGGATAATCTGAGGTTGGGAGGGTTAGCCACCCAGGATAATCCGAGGTAAGAAGGGTTAGCAACCCAGGATAATCCAGGGTAGGGAGGGTTAGCCACCCAGGAAAATTTCTGAGGTAAGAAAGGGTTAGCCACCCAGGATAATCCGAGGTAAGGAGGGTTAGCCACCCAGGATAATCCGAGCTAAGGAGGGTTAGCCACCCAGGATAATCCGATTTAAGAAGGGTTAGCCACCCAGGATAATCCGAGGTAAGGAGGGTTAGCCACCCAGGATAATCCGAGGTAAGAAGGATTAGCCACCCAGGATAATCCGAGGTAAGGAGGGTTAGCCACCCAGGAAAATCCGAGGTAAGGAGGGTTAGCCACCCAGGATAATCCAAGGTAAGAAGGGTTAGCCACCCAGGAAAATCCGAGGTAAGAAGGGTTAGCCACCCAGGATAATCCGAGGTAAGAAGGGTTAGCCACCCAGGATAATCCGAGGTAAGGAGGGTTAGCCACCCAGGATAATCCGGGGTTTAAGGGGGGTTAGCCACCCAGGATAATCCGAGGTAAGGAGGGTTAGCCACCCAGGATAATCCGAGGTAAGGAGGGTTAGCCACCCAGGATAATCCGAGGTAAGGAGGGTTAGCCACCCAGGATAATCCGAGGTAAGGAGGGTTAGCCACCCAGGATAATCCGAGGTAGGGAGTTTTAGCCACCCAGGATAATCCGAGGTAAGAAGGGTTAGCCATCCAGGATAATCTGAGGTAGGGAGAATTAGCCACCCGGGATAATCCGAGGTAAGGAGGGTTAGCCACCCAGGATAATCCAAGGTTGGGAAGGTTAACCACCCAGGATTATCCGAGGTAAGAAGGGTTAGCCACCTAGGTTAATCCGAGGTAGGAAGGGTTAGCCACCCAGGATAATCCATGGTAGGGAGAGTTAGCCACCCAGGATAATCTGAGGTTGGGAGGGTTAGCCACCCAGGATAATCCGAGGTAAGAAGGGTTAGCAACCCAGGATAATCCAGGGTAGGGAAGGTTAGCCACCCAGGATAATCTGAGGAAAGAAAGGTTAGCCACCCAGGATAATCCGAGGTAAGGAGGGTTAGCCACCCAGGATAATCCGAGGTAAGGAGGGTTAGCCACCCAGGATAATCCGAGGTAAAAAGGGGTTTACCCAAACCCAGGATAATCCGAGGTAAGAAGGTTTGCCACCCAGGATAATCCGAGGTAAGAAGGGTTAGCCACCCAGGATAATCCGAGGTAAGAAGGGTTAGCCACCCAGGATAATCCGAGGTAAGAAGGGTTAGCAACCCAGAATAATCCGAGGTAGGGAGGGTTAGCCATCGAGGATAATCTGAGGCAGGGTGGGTTACCCACCGGGATAACCCAAGGTAGGGGGGTTACCCACCCATGATAATCCAAGGTAGGGAGGGTTAGCCACCCAGGAAAACCCAGGTAGGGGGGTTAGCCCCCCAGGAAACTCGGGGTAGGGGGGGTTTAGGCACCCAGGAAACCCAGGGTTGGGAGTGTTTAGCCTCCCTGATAACCCAGGGTTTCTGAGGGTTAGCCACCCGGTAAACCCGGGGGACTGGGGGGCTACCCCACCCAGGAAAACCCGGGGTTTATGAGGGTTAACCCCCCCCATGATAACCCAGGGTAGGGTTTTCCCACCCGGGAAAACCCCAGGGCCGAGTTTTAGCCCCCCGGATAAACCCAGGGTACGGGGGGTTAGTCCCCCGGGAAAACCCGGGGTTTGGGGAGTTTTAGCCACCCGGATAACCCGGGGTACTGAGGGTAGCCACCCAGGGTAACCCAGGGTACTGAGGGTTTGACACCCAGCATAACCCAGGGTACTGAGGGTTAGCCACCCAGGATAACCCAGGGTACTGAGGGTTAGCCACCCAGGATAACCCAGGGTACTGAGGGTTAGCCACCCAGGATAACCCAGGGTACTGAGGGTTAGCCACCCAGGATATCCCAGGGTACTGAGGGTTAGCCACCCAGGATAACCCAGGGTACTGAGGGATAGCCACCCAGGATAAACCAGGGTACTGAGGGTTAGCCACCCAGGGTACTGAGGGTTAGCCACCCAGGATAACCCAGGGTTGGGAGCGTTAGCCACCCAGGATAACCCGGGGTACCGAGGGTTAGCCACCCAGGATAACCCTAGAAAGCCAGTGTGTCATCAAAAACTGTTTGTCTTATTTCCTTTGTGGTCCTTCAGTCTTGTCCCCCTTGATGCAACTCACAAATCCACTAACACCCACGTACCTATTTGCTGTTAGGTGAACAGTGATAATCGGTTTAACATGACTAACTTTGTAGAGGAATGGTTCAGAGAACCGACATGTTGATAAATTAGACACATATGCAACTCTTGATGGACTGAACACATCGACTCAAGGTTGAGGGACTGATTACCTCATTCTCCTCCTGTTCTTCAAGTTTCTCCTACGTATGGACTGATGAAGCCACTGTGTGGCGAAACGTTTCCTCAATAAAGATACCCAAGAGTTGCATATGTGTCTAATTTATCAACATGACTAACACCCAGGTACCTATGCAACCAATGTTTCCACCAGGCTGGGACTGAACCACGGATAGTCAATGTGCGAGGAGCAAGCATTGCTAACCTGGCCATGGCACAGGTACACATAAGTACACTTATTGGTCTTGTCTTGTGTTGCAGTGTTGCATTGTATATGGAGAGCAAGACTCAATAATTTAATAAATACATTTACATACTCACAAATAACTCACACTTGCACATGGCCAGGTTTCTTACCATCTTGGACCATTGTCAGGTAACTTGCAAGTTGGAATGTTATAAGGTGTAGCGATGTTGATGGGATCTAGTCCACATAGTTCTTTTTTGCAATAATTCATATGATACATGTAAGTTGGTTGGGTGGGTGGGTGGTTAGTTGTGGTTGGTTTGGTTCTGGTTTTGTTAGGTTTGGTTTGTTTGTTTAGGTTAAGGTACACATAAGCACAATTATCATACACAGTACAGGTTGGTCCTAGGTAGTAGGTTGGTAGACAGCAACCACCCAGGGAGGTACTACCATCCTGCCAAGTGAGTGTAAAATGGAAACCTGTAATCATTTTACATGATGGTAGGATTGCTAGTGTCTTTTTTTCTGTCTCATAAACATTCAAGGTTTCAGGTACGTCTTGCTACTTCTACTTACACTTAGGTCACACTACACATACATGTACATGTACAAGCATATATATACACACCCCTCTGGGTTTTCTTCTATTTTCTTACTAGTTCTTGTTTATTTCCTCTTATCTCCATGGGGAAGTGGAACAGAATTCTTCCTCCGTAAGTTATGCGTGTTGTAAGAGGTGACTAAAATGCCAGGAGCAAGGGGCTAGTAACCCCTTCTCCTGTATAAATTACTAAATTTAAAAAGAGAAACTTTTGTTTTTCTTTTTGGGTCACCCTGCCTCAGTGGGATATGGCCGGTTTGTTGAAAGAAAGAAGTACAGGTTGGCCATTACTAATCCAGCATCATTGGGACCTGTAGTGTGCCGGATTAGTGAGTTTGCCAGATTACAGAGTGGTTAGGTTAGAATACACATAATTAACTGGCTTGCTGCTGTGGATTTACAACCATCTTAACAATTTCTGA